TGCTCTTTCCCTATGTGGCTGTCACTACGCCCAGCTCGTCAGGGGTCCCAACCGAAGCAGATCCAGCACCATCTCCCCTGGTAGGACAGAGGCCTTGGGAGAGGCTCCAATGGTCACATGACACCTGGAGGGGGTGGCTGGGACTGAATGATCCTTTCTCTGGAAGCATGGAAGCTGAGGTCTCAGGCCAGAGAGCCGGATGCATGCCTGACCGAGATGACATCCAGCCACCTGCCCTTGGTGCATCAGCTAGCAGACAGTGTCCTTAGCCTGACTCTGTGCTGAGTTCTTGAAACACAAAGACAGGCAGGGAGGGGTGGGCAGGGGCAGGGGACAGGACCACTACCTGGCCCTCAGAGGCAGCCGGGAGGCCGTGAGTGGCCCAGTCAGACTGGCTTCTCATCCTGTCTCTGCCATTTCCCAGCTGGGTGACCGAACTCGGCACTCAATTCCTCTGAGCCTGTTTCTTTATCTGGAAGAGGAGCAAATGACAGGACCCACTTGACAGGGTTTTATGAAGATTAAATGAGGCAATACAAGAAAAGTGCTTAGTCTAGTCCCAGGCAATGGGCCAGGGCCCAATAGGTATTCGCTGAGAAGCCCTAAACCCTTCTGAGATGGGGTCCCTTCTTCCCTTTGGCTCTGTGGTCCGTGGCTCAGCAGTAGAAAAAAAAAAGGTAGGGTGGGGGAAAGCATGAACACACACACATACACACGCACGCACAAACATGCACACACATACTCACATGCTCTTCACACAATAAAAATTCTGAAGAATCACAAAGCAATTCTAACCATGTTTTCCTATGGGGTGAGATTATGGCAGAGACTTTAACTTTCAGGTTATATAGCTCTGTTGATATTTAATTTTACAATCAGAAACAATAAAGAGACTTAAAAATTGTTGTGTGCTACTCAGTGCCAGGCACAGTATCAGGCACTTTTGATACAGCATCCCTAACCCTTAGAACGTCCTTCTCAAGGAGGTCATATTATTCCCACGTTGTAGATGAGCAGGTTGAGGCTGAGAGAAGTAAAGCGACCTGATCAAGGACACAAAGCTCATCAGTGATGATGCCAGGATCTGACCCCAGTATTGGAATCAAGTTCAAAGCAATTCTGCTTGGCAGGTCAGGGAAAGCTTCAAGGAGGAGGTGATATTTGAGCAGAGCCTGGAAAGCTGATTAGGGCTTCTCTAGGGCAAGGTTCTCAACCAGGGGTGATTTTGATCCCAGGGGACATTTGATGAATCCTGGAGACGTTTTTGGCTGTCACAGCTTGGTGGAGTCGGAGGGGTGGGAGGGTGGGAAGCCTACTGGCTAGTGCTAGTGGTTAGAGGCCAGGGATACTCTTAAACATCCTATAATGCACAGGATTGTCTTGCACACAAAGACTTATCTGGCCCCGAATGTCAGAACTGCATGGTATGATAACACACTAGACTGTCATTTACTGAGTGCATTACTAAATTCTTGCAAATGTCATCTTGTTTAATCCATCTCCATTGCTGTCACTGAGGGACTTGAAGCTCAGAGATGGTAAGTTTTCTAAGGCCACACTGCCAGAAAATGGTAGCACTGGGATTGAAGCTGCCCAGGACAAAGCCAGAATTCTTAACCTTTCTGCTCTGCTACCTCCAGGATTTATAATAAATGTAAAATCTCCAACCACTAGGTGGGATATGAGGAGACTCCAGCTGAGCTCAGACGTGGCCTCCTCTGACCTCAGGCCTTGGGCAAGGTCCCCTCCCTCCTCTGCCATTTCTGCATCTGTCAACTGAGGGTGGCACCAAAAGATCTCCAAGGCCCTGCCAGCTCTGAGTTTGTTATTCTCCAGGAGAGGGGCCCAAGCCCAGGCTCCAGTAGCCCTGGGGACAGAAGCACCACTGGGAGGGGAGGGGGTATGTCGGGCAGACTCAGCCTCATTCCCAGTGCACAAATAGCTAATGAGCCCTGCTCTGTTGATTATGTTACCCCACAAGGAGAGAGAGGCAGGTGGGGTGGGGAGTGGCTTGAACCTCATCCAGGAGCTTACCTCTCCCGTGGGGAAGGCATGTGTCTCTGCCACCTTCTTGCCACACCCAAAGAAGGCACCAAAGCAAGGCCTCCTTCTCAGGCAAGAGAGACAGGTCTGGGCATTTGCCCAGGTGGGCACGTGAGTTCTTACAGGTAGAAGGAGAAGGGATGGGAGTGCATGCTGACCCAGCCCCTACCATGTGCCAAGCATCTCAAACAGCAAGTTCACCTCAGGTCAGCCTCCTGAAGTCCTGGTAGGAAGGAATCCGGTTTACAGACCAGAGACTCAAGGCTTATGTGAAGGGACTTTCCGAGTCACACAGACAGTGCTGAAAGAAGGTTTGGAACCCAAGACTGTCTGACCACAGGACAGTACAGAAGTTAGGTAAGTGGCAGTCCTGTTCTCTTCACCGAGGAGTAAAAGTGTTTCAGTAACATTTGGAGAAAATATATATTTAACTTCTTCTGCATTTCCCAGGACACAGAATGGATTGTAAAAAAAACAAAACACAATCGCTCTGATGTCCTGGTTTGCAGACAGGGGAACCCAGGCTCAGTAGGCAGAGGCCTCTCTAGCTGGAAAGTCAGTCAGGGAGAGGAGGGGCTAAGTGGCAGAGGAGGGATCTGGCTGGGGCAGGTGGAGCTTTCTAGTCTGGCTCTTTGTGGTAGTGTGGCTTTGGGGGACTCATATCACCTCTCTGGACCTTAGTCTCCACACCTATGTTGGGAAGAGGCTGGACAGATGGTTTCAGGGTCTCTTCAAGCCCTCACAACCTGCACTCAGCCATGTCAGAGGTTCTCTCCTTCCTGTTTATGTGACTTCACAGATGGAGAGATGGGGATACCAGGACCCAGGACCAAAGGCTCTGGGGACAGAGGGCCAATGTCAGCCTGTGCGAGCTCCCAGAGCCCCTAACTCTTGCTCTCCAGCCTCAGAGCCAGAAAGGGAGGGAGTCAGTCACAGTTTGGTGATGAAAGGGGCAGGGAGGGAGAGATGATGAACATGGGGCCATTTCTCATCTGCTAAGTGCAGGTTGATTCGCAGAGACTCATGTACAAGGTGGGGAGGGTGGCGGGGAAACACCTCCTACAACATAGGGAAAAGTAGTAATTCAGATGCTTAAGCATCTCAAGAGCCAGGGAACTTACTACCTGCCAAGTTAGGCCACTGCATATTCAAAAAATGTCTGAGTGAAAAATCTTCTGCTTCCAAAGGCTTCCACAGTCTGGGCCAGCTCAGGCCAGAATTGATCATTCATTATTCAGACTTTACTGATGAGTACGGATGTGCCAGGCTTTGGGGCCATAGATATGATGAATTAGAGACTGTCCCTGCTCTTTGGGAACTGTGTGCTAGACTGGTATCCCAAGGCCAAAGACACAGGACCGGTGGATGGAAATAGTTTAGGTTGAGGAGAAGATTCTAGACTTCCACGTTGAAATAAGCTTGGGTGCCATTTTAGTAAACACATTAAGTGGATTTCTTTGCTACAAGATTTCTCCAAACCTTTAATATGCAAAATGTACATGGAGAGTCCTCCAAGGGGGGTGTAGAGAATATACTATATTTCCCCAATATAGCTGATGTGGGAACACTACTTTTAAAAACAGCATACTTATTAACAGAGGATATTTGGGGAAATGCAGCTCTAATACTCTTTCTTTCTTTCTTTCTTTCTTTCTTTCTTTCTTTCTTTCTTTCTTTCTTTCTTTCTTTCTTTCTTTCTCTTTTTTTTTTTTGCCAGGGGAGCTTGGGGAAGCCTTATACTGAGAGGACATTTGAGCTGGGCTTTGAGACTTGAATAGGAGTTGGTCAGTGAAGATGGGAAGGTTTAAGGGAGATCAATTATAGTGCCAGGCTGACTATGCTCAGGTTACCCTGCATATACTGTTTCATTTAGTCTTCAAAGGTCTTGATGTGAGTGACAGAGCCAAAGAGGTCATCAAAATCCTCTGGAGACTCCTAGAGATCCACCCCCTCCCTTTCTTGAATCACCTCATTGCAGGGCCTTATTCTCCTAATCTTGAGTCTTTTTTTTTTTAATTTTTTTTTATTTATTTATGATAGTCACAGAGAGAGAGGCAGAGACACAGGCAAAGGGAGAAGCAGGCTCCATGCACCGGGAGCCCGATGTGGGACTCGATCCCGGGTCTCCAGGATCGCGCCCCGGGCCAAAGGCAGGCGCCAAACCGCTGCGCCACCCAGGGATCCCCCTAATCTTGAGTCTTAAATCCTGTTCCCACTGTCAACCTGGCCTCTACTCTGGTTTAGACTCTAAATAGGTTTTACAGTACCAGGACTAGATCCCAGTTTTAACCCTTCACACACCCTGACCTAGCCCTGGCCCAATAACCTACCCTCTCAGCAGTTTGGGTGGCCATAACTTAGACTCTCTCTTAGATCTAGCCCTGACCTGCCCAGTGCAGTCTAGCCCTGGTGCTGCCCCCTAGGTCCTCATGCACACCTGATTGAGTGCTGCCCCGTGGTGTCCCAAGCCTGCCCCTCAGGTACTCCGAACAGTCCTGGACCTATTGCCGGATGGCGGCCCCGCTCCCTGTCCAGCCCCGATAGTGCTCCTATTCCCATCTGTGTCTTTGTCCCCACTCTGTCCCATTCATTTGTGGGTCCTGTCTTCAGGTCCGGCCCCCTGATCCCAGACAGTCCTGCCCTTGCCCAGCTCTAATTCGTCCTGGTCCCCAACTCTGCCCCAAGCCTCTGATCTCACTGGTCCCCCCACGCCACGGGTGACCCCTCCCCAACCAAGGACCCACCCCCACTTCTGGTTTGTCTCAGACCCGGGCGGGGACAGGCGGCCCGAGGCCCCGCCCCCTGCACCCCGCCCTCTCACCGCGGCCCCGCCCCGCCCCCGTCCCACACTAATCCTGATAGGGCCCTGACTGCGCCGGCGGCCCCGCCCCGAGGCAATTCCGACGCGGCCCCGCCCCGGCCCCGCCCCGGCCCCGCCCCGGCCCCGGCCCGCTCACCTGCAACTCTTCGAAGGCATCGTCGATGCCGGTGACCTGGTGCTGCTCGTGCAGCGCGGGCTCGTCGCAGAAGAAGCAGAGCAGCGCGCGGTCCGTGAGGCAGAAGAGCTTGACCTTGTCGTGCGCCTGGCAGGGTCGCGCGGCGCGGCGCGCGCTGAGGATGGCGTCCAGCGGGAAGGCGCTGTAGCGCTCCACGATGTTGGCCAGCTTGAGGCTGGGCGCGAGCGCGGGCTCGGCGAACGTGCGCCGGCACTCGGGGCAGTCGCGGGCGCCCTGCGCCTCCTGCCTCACCCAGTGCTCGGTGATGCAGCGGCGGCAGAAGTAGTGCTCACAGCCCAGGCTCACCGGGTCCTGGTAGATGCTCAGACAGATGGAGCAGAGCAGCTCGTCCTTGAGGCTGCACGCCATGGCGCTGGGGGCGGCGGAGAGGGGGCCCTGGGATGCAGGGGGGCGGCTGGGCGAGCGCGGCGCTGCCGGGGGCCGCACCGAGGGATGGGTGCGGGGAGCAGGCGAGGAGAGGCGGGAGTAGGAGCTGCAGAAGGAAGGGGGGCTGTCCGGGAGGGAAGGGGGGTACGCGAGGAAGAGGTGCAGGATAGATGGAGACTAGCCGGGATGCGAGTCCAGGAAGGTGGTCTCGAGGTAGTGGGTGACTCGGAGCGCTGGGTGCTGGAGGGAGGGCGCCGTAGGTGTCTGAGGGAAGGGGCTCCTGGCAAGGAGGTTCTAGAGGAAGGGACAGCCTGAAGGGGTGGGTTTTGGGATAAGAGGATCCAGGAGGGGGGCGGACGCCTTAGGGGGACTGAAATCCCGGGATGGGTGCAGTGGGGGGAGGGGGAGAAGCAGAGGATGGGGAATTCTGGGGAAGGGGGAAGCCAGGCGGAGCTGCGCCGCGGCTGTGCGTGGCAGAGGAGAGGAGGGGTGCGAGCGCGCTCAGCTGCCCGATCCCAGCCCCAAGACCCCGCCCGGCGCGGCCCCTTACCCCTGCCGGCTCAGCGGCCACTGCTCCGGTCCGAGCGCAGCCTCTCAACCCGGAACCAGCCGAGCGCGAGCTCCCGGCGGCAGTGACTCCCTCCCCGCCCCCGCGGGCCTGGCCCAGGCGACTCCGCCCCTACGGCGGGCGGGGGAGAGGAGAGGCGGGGCCAGGCCTCCAGCCTGCGGACCCCCTCTCCGCCCCCACCGTCCCCCCTACTCCCTGGGGACCGAAACCCAGCTGTTCTTTCAGGATCTGCACACGGAACAACATGCACGTCTCGCTTAGGGTCCCTGCGGCGGGTGAGGACAGCTAATTTAAGAGGATAACGAGTAAACAAGGAGCATCTTTCGAGATCATCCACTTGAAGAATTGGAGAAAATAATTTTTTATTAAAACAAGCAAGAATATGTCCTGTAATCTGTATAGAATACAACCTTTCCATAAAGTGTAAAGAGAAATGCCCTGCTTGCTTAGAGCAAGTTCAAGATTTCCTTTTCACTTTCTTTTTTTTTTTTTTAAGATTTTATTTACTTATTCATAAGAGACACAGAGGCAGAGGGAGAAGCAGGCTCCCTGGGGGAGCCCCAAGCAGGACTCCATCCCGGGACCCCGGGATCACGCCCTGAGCCAAAGGCTGATGCTCAACCACTGAGCCATCCAGGCTCCCTCCTCTTCACTTTCTTAAGGAGTGCTTGGTGGAGGGGGTGGGGCGGGGGTGGGGGGGCGGTTAGGAAGCTCTGGACGGCTACTGTTTAACCCAGAGTAGCCTCCATTCAGGAAACATTTCCAGAGCGCTATATTTGTGTGTGTGTGTGTGTGTGTGTGTGTGTGTGTGTGTGTGTGTGTGTGGCGGTTGGGGAGGGTGGAGCAGGAGAGAAGGAGAGAGTAATAGGAGACCTTATCTTGTCTGCCAGATGGAGAGGGGATAAGGGATTTCTAGAGGGGACAGCCGGTGCAAAAGCACAGAGGCGTGAAAGGGGAGGGCAATTTGAGGGAAGTGCAAGTAGTTCTGTTATGTTGGGGGGGGTGGGGAAGACAAGGAGGGGAGGGTGTTGTGGGTCGTGGTAAAATGTTTCCTGAAGGCACTGATCTTTCAAGCAGAGAAATGACTTGGCTGTGGGTTTCAGAGAGTTAGGGAGATGCTCCTTATACCATAAGCAAGGTGAAGGCAGGGACGTTTTCTGGTATGTCTGCATATGTGCAGTGCTTCCTATACATTAAAGTTGAGTAGCTGAGTAACAGCAGCAGAGATGTAGATTACAGGAAGAGAGACTGGCCCCAGTTAGATCACTGTTGTCATAGAGCCTGCCGGAGACCTGAACTGGGAGAAGGAGACAAGGCTAGGGTATTGAAAGTATAGACATTATGGAATCTAGTAAGGAATTGGATATGGGGGTGAGAGAGAAAGAGATATTGAACATGGCTCCCCAGTTTCTGCCTTCTCCAGACATGTCTTCACTAGAGTTATTGAGGTATGATTTAAGAAACAATTGGAAGTTTTGGAAGTTCACTCCCCTGCTGTTTATGTACCCTCCATATCATCACCTGGTCCTGTGCCTCCATCATTGCCAGAAACAAGTTGGTAACTCATGCAATAACCGTTCCTCGACTTTTCCTTGCAGTCAGAGCTGATTTTGTTCAGGTGAGTCCCTTCCCCATATGACCAAAGGAGGGCTGGCCCCAGTCCAATCTAAGAGTAAGTCGGCTATTGGTTCAAGTCCGTTGTAGTGGTTGCATTCCTCTTGCCAATAATAGTTTGGGCTTCAGACATGTGATACAGGTCGGTCTGAAAAACCAGAGGGCAAGGCAACTTCTGCTAAAGTCTGTCCCCTTTCAAAAACTCTGTCCGCTTTCCCAATTGTGGATGTGTTTGGTGGTGATGCTTGGAGCAGTACCAGCTAACTTGCTCCCAGTCTGAGGATGCAGCCAACACACGACTGAGGCTGGAAGAGTCCTAGGGAAGAAGGAATGGTGCTCTGATGCAGAGCCTAGACTTTTGGATATATGAGGTGGCCCACCTTATTGCTTAAACAAGTTAAATAGTGGTGTGCTGTCACTTGGCAACCGAAAGAATCCCCAGTAACACACTGGTATGCATCCCCAATATCTTTTTTTGTAAGAAGGGGAGGGTCTAAATTATTGAAGCATTAGAAGTGAAATAAAAAAAGGAAAAAAATAAAAGAAAAAAGGCTTGATGATGGATGGATGGGCTTTTTTTATTCAACTTGTAATCTACCCTCTTCTTCTATAGCAATATGGTAGTTGGCCAAATGGCTGGTCTGCTGGAGACCACACTTTGTAGTTGCTCTTGTTGCTGAGTGTGGCTTTGTGACTAAGTCCTTTCTTATAGAACATAAGTAGAAACAGTCCTTAAGGCATTGGGCTTTTGCTCTGCCACGCTCCATTTCCTCTTCCCTTGAGTTGGAACACAGATGTGCCAGGGACCCAGCTTCAATAATGCTTCAAAGGGGCTGATAGTGCAAAGATAAGGAAGGAACCCGAGCTCTGAATGACGACATGGAGTGTAATCACTCACCCATGTGCATGAAAGAAAGAGAAATAAACATCCATTTTTGGTAAGCCATTGCATTTTGGGTCTCTTTCTTGCAGCAGCGTGGCCTACCCCATGCTATCCCACTGCTGTGTTTAGAAGAAGCTCTGTTACTATGTGATGCTATTGTCTGAATCCTTTCAAATGGCTACGCCCCCTTGCTCTGTAGCTCCAATCCCTTCCCAAGGGTATGGAATATGGTTTTCTCTGGCTGTAAATCAGTCTCTTGACCTTTCGCAGTGCTTTCTACTTTTAGCCTTTTTACCTTTCCAGGGGCTGATCTGTTGACCTTACACCATCTTGGCTAAGATGCAGAACACTACGCCCACTCAAACTGCTGGTTATAGTTAAGTTTGGCAAGCCATTGCTTATTTATTTATTTATTTATTCATTCATTCATTCATTAGAGGCAGAGAGAGAAGCAGGCTGGATGTGGGGCTCCATCTCACAACCTTGAGATCATGACCTGAACCAAAACCAAGACTGGGATGCTTAAACAAGTGAGCCACCCAGGCACTATTCACCAACTTGTAAATTTATTTGTAATCCCAAATCAATACTTGAGCAACTTCTGTAATCATGTAAGGATCCACACATGCATGGAGTTGTGACAATTTAGAGTTGCCTGAGGGGATCCCTGGGTGGCTTAGCCTTGAGTCCCAGGATCAAGTCCCGCATTGGGCTCCCTGCATGGAGCCTGCTTCTCCCTCTGCCTGTGTCTCTGCCTCTCTCTCTCTCTCTCTCTCTCTCTCTCTCTCTCTCTCTGTTGTGTCTCTCATGAATAAATAAATAAAATCTTTTAAAAAAAATTTAGAGTTGCCTGATATGCATGTTCCCAGCTGAGGTCCAACGAGGTGACGCTCTGCCTTCTTGTTTCAGCCCTCATGCTGTAAACAAGTGTCTTTTTCATGGTCTATTCAGTGCCATGTTTTTCTTGTTTTTGAGCTTTTGTTGGTGATGTTTGAACTGACCCCCATGGGTAGCACTGAAGGGCTGTCTAGTTCCTAAGTGCAGGGAGGCTGTGATGAGCCTCAGGGAGAAAACACTTGAGGTAGATGAACTGGTCATTCTAGCATGACTTATGATGCTCTTGGCCATGAGTTCAATGTTAATGAATCAACAATATATATTAGATAAGGGGTCTTTAAGAAGAAACACACATAAAACAAGGTTATGTATTGATTGGTTGATGAAACTGTGGCCAGAGGCTCCCAAGAATGCTGTTTTTCCTCGAGGGGCAATGATTCAGTATTTCCTATTTCAGCCTTTGCGGCAACTTCATGGAACACAGCTACCATGAGTAATGAGTGGAATATATTTTAAAATGTTGTGGTGTCTAGCAGCATCTACCAATACAAGGCACCAACGGCAATGTCCCTTTCCACCCAGGTACAGTGGGCTCCGGTTTGCTCAGAAGGGGAGGGCCAGGAGAATGAGCATTGCCTGAGCCTGTCCTGTGTACCAGGCATTGTGCTAGGTACTTCCTGGCACAGCTTTATTTAATCTTCACAACTACCTTCCAGACTTGCTGTTTTTCTCTCCATTGGCAGAGAAGGACTCTGTCACTCAGAGGGGTGAATGACTTGCCTAGTGCCAGACCAAGGAGGAGGCACAGACTTTTCTACCCTGGGCTGCTGGAGAAGGTTCAGCAGTGGGCAGCCTGGAGCTGTGCCTGATCTGGGCCCTCAGCTCCATCCAGCGGTCCCTGTCCCTCCCCATTCCAAACCTTTGCCTGTCTCCTCAAGCCCATGGCCCCACCCCTGCTCCTCTTTCTCTGTGGGGGACCTTGCTTCCCACCCACGAAGAAAGTAGACTCCTCTGGGGGCAGGGCGGGGGGGGGGGGGGGACACTTCTCAACTTCCAGCCCCCTTCAGCCTATCAACATGGCTATAGAAATACCTCAAGTCCTTTGTGAAATGAGGCAGAGTGTAATATAAACAAATGGATGAAGTCAACGCACTGATAACGTTATTCATCCTTACTTCCTCTGCTCGAGCCTGAGGGTGAAGTGTGCCTTCTGTTCCAAATGAATTCCTCCAACTGGGCCCTGATCTCATTCCCTTCCACCTCCTCTGGGACCCAGGTCTTTCAGGGATCCCCTTTGCCACTGCCTTTGTGATTCTTCTCCCAGCATCAGCTCCCTGCCCTCAGCCTGCAAGCATGCTTACATGTCTCTGCAAACAGCATGGGCTACCGGCCCTGTCCCCTCTCCTTTGGCTCCCACTTCATTTCTTGCCTCGCCCCACCCCAGCCTTTTGAAAGTGTCCCCTGCACACCCTTCCCTGATGTTCATCAACCCCTGGCAGCCTGGCTCTGCTCCCTGCCACTCACTGAAGTCACTAATAATCTCCTAATTGCCAATTAAAGAAAGCTGCTAATACAGTCACTGCTGCAGAAAAACAAAATACAGAGAAAAATTCAAAGGAAACTTGAGATATTCATGATTACACCACCCAGAAAGAACTATTGTCAATACTTGTTTATATCCTTACAGACCTTTTCACGTTAGACATGCTTGTGCTCTCGTGCGTGTGCACAAACACACACACACAAGGGAGGAGGAGGGGGTGGTGGAGAGAGAGACTGAGAGGGAGAGAGAGAGATTTTAAAAAATGCAAACAAGTTCACTCTCTAAATTATCGTTTCTCAAAGCGTGGTCCTTGAACCACATGTGTCTTAGCGTAGGTTATCCTTGAGAGCTGACCTTGAGATAAGAAGTGGAGTGAGAATAGTTTATTTGGGAAGCGTAAGCAATGCTACTAAGCGAGGAAAGTGATCCAGGGAAGGGGAGGCAGTGCCATAAGGCTGCACTGTTAGACCAGCTAGCACCAGAGGGCAA